GGCAGGAGCGCTGCCGTGCTCCCAAGCGGCGCACTCTCCAGTGCGCCACCGGGCCGGCCCATTGTTTGTTTTGTTTTAAAGATGACTGGTAAGGGGATCTTAACCCTTGACTTGGTGTTGTCAACACCACGCTCTCCCAAGTGAGCCAACCAGTCATCCCTATATAGGGATCCGAACCCATGGCCTTGGTGTTATCAGCACCGCACTCTCCCAAGCGAGCCATGGGCTGGGCCCTGAGATGCTGGTGTTTGAAGAGTCTTCTTCCCCCTCTTCACCTTTCTCTACCTTTGCTAGCTGACTTTTTCATAGGAAAGTTCACAGGAGTAGAACTATGACTAGGGAGAAAAACCTCATGGACTCAATTGAATGTTGATATGGGCACTGGTTTCAGTCACTAGAAGAAACATTGGAAGGGGTAGGGAAGGGAGAGTAAGGGTTCCATGTAAAAAGTCTTACAAGTATCTTGTCTGCTATAGATAGGAGGGCCTGAACAAAACTGTTGAAGAGGCTTCTGGGAACAGAGCCAGTAAAACTCTTTTGGTAGAAGGAAGAAACAACCTAGGACCATTAGACAAGTTCTCCCAAGCTTTGTTTATAATTAAACTTCCCATCTAGAGATACTTTCTGTTAAATCATATATACACAGGGAAGAATTTGGTGTTGATCCTGACTGTTCTGTTCTGAATTTCTTTGCCTGATAGTCACGTCTTTGCTTGGTAGTCACTTCCTGCCAGACAGTGTGGTGATAGTAATTTCCTCTTTTGGTCAGGTTTATAGTCTCTTAGGAAATAAATATTCATCATAATGCTGAGAGTTTGTGGGAGGGATCAGTGTGCTTTAGACTGTCTGCCGTCCCTCTGGTGGTACCTCTTCCTCTGCGGTCAGGTGGCCCTTCATGTTCCAGTCATGCCTAGAAGATGGCCTGTTAAACACAGCTCTCTGGATTGACTTTGTATTGAGACATTCTGTATCCGACTCGGGCCAGAAACTTGTGACAGTCATTGGTGGGTCTAGGTAATACATACTTTGTCAAAATACCTGCATATGCTACAAATAAAAAAAGTGTAGAACTGTGAGGAGTTGCGGGGACTTGTGCCTCCCGTCCCTCAGTTCTCCCACATGTGTTCAACCTTAAGTGAGATGTATTAGACATTGCGCTTCAAGTAAGAACCTCTGTCATGCTCTTCTCAGGCACCACAGTGTTTTCTCCACTCTCAGCCCATGTTCTGTGGGATGTATTTGCATCCATTTCTCTTATGAGGCAGGAAGTAGGTGTTTAGGTCAGTATAGCTTTGTCCTGGTTTTCTCTGCCCCCACCTCTACCTTAGAGATGCATGAATAGAAAGGAACTTTAGTCCAAAGAACTGAGAATGAATTAGATAACTGGGTCAGGGGTGGGGGTAGGGGGTGGAGGTGGGGTCAGGACTGCAGACTGTTTCTTGCTGTTCCTAAAAAAAACTCAGAAAAACAAAAGGCAAAACAAACCATTTCAGAGTGAAGTATTTTGTTAAACCTATTAAAATGATAAATGACTAGGCCATGGGAGTAATGAATATACTTGACCTTTAGGTTCCTGATAGGTAAGATGCCAGGAATGAGAGCTCTTTCAAATGGTTCTCCAATTACTTTTCGTTCAAAGGGACTTTTCTTCCTTGAATAAATGGATTTTTCAAAAATAGAAGCCTTGTGGGCTTTTCAGTTGCCAGTTCGCAATGGAACATTTGTTGTCATCTTTTTAAGTGATACTGTAAGAGTATCCTGAGAGACTCAAATCTGCAGTTCTCTTGAGTGATTAGTATCCCTTTTATGTATCTTTTTTGTGGGTGATTCCTTTGTAATCTAGTGCTTTAGCTTTTGGAGTTTGTTGTTGTTTTGTTTCTTTAAATCATGGGAGTTCAGATTCCTATTTGCCTTTGTGATTCTAAAGTTTGAGGTTGGATCTTTGTAACGTGTTGGGGCATGAGATTTTAGAAGTTAAAAAAGGAAAGACTTAGATTTTGATTTTTCTGTGCCTAACACACACATGAGTGAGTGAGATCCACAATACTGCTGTTTTTGTCTTCAACTGTTCTATGAAAACTTGAAGACTTAGATCTTCTTGAGGGGGATGTCATTTAAACTTCCTTTTGCTATGGTAGTCTATTTTTTTCTTTTTTTTTTTTTTTTGGTGGCTGGACACTAAGGGGA